AGAGCGAGATTCCATCTCAAAAAAAAAAAAAAAAAATTAGCCGGGCATGGTGGCAGATACCTGTAATCCCAGCTACCCAGGAGAAATAGGAGAGTCGCTTGAACTCGGGAAGTGGAGGTTGCAGTGAGTCGAGATCATACCACTGCACTCCAGCCTGGGCAACAAAGTGAGACTCCGTCTCAAAAGAAAAGAAAAAAAAAGAGTATGGCACTGGATAGAATAGTTTTATAGGAGAGGATGAGAGGATGTAGGAAATCTCTCCATGGGCAAGTTTAGGAAGGAAAAGTGAGGACATCTTGAGCACTGTGCTTCTGGAAGGAGCATGGTATGGCCAGTTGTGCACGTCAGAGCTAATTGCAAGTATGATGAGTGGCCTGGCCCAGGACTAGACAACTCTGCTACTGATCAGAATCCAGATTCCTGGATCAGAGGTCTAATTGGGACCCTACTTGGCCTCTATTTTTAGCATGCTTGTAAGAATTTTAAGAGCAAAACTCTTTTTAAAATTTTTCATTTTTAGAGATGGCATTTCACTGTGTTGCCCAGAGTGGTCTCGAACTCCTCAAGCAATCCTTCTGCTTTGGCCTCCCCAGTAGCTGGAATTACAGTTATGAGCTACCACGCCCAGCAAGAGTAAAACTCTTACCTTCTCTCCTCTTTTCCCAACCTAGCTCTGCTTACTGTGAACCCCATCTGCAGCACTTCTTGAATGATGTTGTGGATTATTTATTGAAGATTTGCTTGTGTAACCATGTTCTCTTCATCTGCTCCAAGAGGAAAGTAAATTCTGGCTTGCACTGAGGAGAGGTTCTAAATAGAAGAGAGGCATTTCAGACCACTAGGAATGTGGCATTGACCTTGTCTTCCAAAGAGCAGGATAGGGAGGATCTCTCCTGCCATGTTGTATAGAAATTGAACTCCCTAAAGATCCACGTGGAACTAATTTTAGGAAACCCCTGCAATCGGATTTTTCTCTACTTAAGAGTAGAGTGCTTTAGCAATGTTGAAAAGGAAAATCCTTTCATGTAGCAGTTCCTTTGCTTGAGTACTTTCAGTCCTGTCCTCTGAGATTTCATATCCTTTTGATCTTCCCAGTCCAGTTTTAATTTGTTCAGTTCAAGTTAGAAAAGGATTTTGAAAAACAATACTTTTCTCTTTTGGGATTCTATAGGTAGGGATCATTGGTCCTAAATGTTCTTCAGTAAACTTTCCCTCCCTTTTTTCTTTGCTTATAAAATGCCCTCTGGGGGAAATAAGCTGCACTGTGTTTCTTGGGGCTTGATCATTTGCTGCAGTTGTTTGTACAGTTGTTAAGTTACGCTTTCTATTCCACTAACAAATGATGCTGTGAGGATTGCCATATTTCTTGTGTTTCCCTTCAACAGGAAGCTTGATTGGTAACTGAAGACAACATCTCATGTCTTCTTTGTGAGTAAATTGCTGTAGTAGGAGCGTGGCTGATGTTGGTCCAGACGCATTCTTACTTTGTTAAACATATGAAGAGAGTCATCATCATCAAGGAGAGCTGCACTGGTCTACATGGTAGCCCCTGGCTAACGGCATGTGAAGTCTCAAAGTTAAAAGTTCACTTCTTCAGTAGCACTAACCACATTTCCAGTGCTCAGTAGCCACAAGTGGCTCATGCAGTATTGACATTTTGAGCCAGATTATTCTTGGTGGGAGTAGGAGGACTGTCTTGTGCATTTGTGCATTGTAGGATGTTCAGCAGCACACCTGGTCTCCACCTACTCAATGCCAGTAGCATTCTATAGACATAACAACCAAAATGTTTCCAGAGATTGCCAAATGACCCTACAGGGGCAAAACAAATCCTGGTTAAGAATCACTGGCTTTGTGGCTATAGTATTTGAAAGCTCAGATACAGAACATTTCCATGATGGTAGACAGTACTGTTCTAGAATCATCCCTAGCAGAATTTGGGGAATTTTATGTAGTAAGAATTTTGAGCTTTGGCGGAATCACAGTGGACATACAGTCCAAAGCCTGGGGAAACTGAGGCACAGAACGATTTATGGGTGATATCAGATCACACAACATGTGTCACTCTGGACTTCTGGACTTCAAGTTCACGCAGCCCAGAGAACAAGCTGCTGATTTTTGTTCGAACCTGCTTCGTTCTTACTGTGCATTTGCACTCAGTGTTGGCTGTGGGGGAGGACGGAGTCCTAAAAACTGGGAATGGTTCAGTCCTGAGATGTTCAGAGATGCAAATTCTGGACACATCTCTTTTATCCCTCCCTGGCTTGTGGCTTTGTTTAAGGCTGTACATATGGGCTAGGATTGGGAGGGTGACTGAGACATTTGATGGACAAAGACCTGTTGAGTTTCCTCATTTCCATCAGTACAGAGATCGGGAGCATATTCCCGGGGCCATGGAAGACTGTCATCCTATAAAATTTCTTCTTTTTTGCTTTTAAATCTTCATTATCTCCTCTGTCTGCTTCCTTGTAGGGGTCCATCGTAAAGCCATTAATACGAAATACCTGGAGGTTCATTTCTTCAGAGGCCACAAGGAAGCAGAGTCTATAGAAAGCTTTGGGAAGGGAAAAGGAGTCTCTCTCAGGATGTGGTGTCCACAGCTGAAGGGCTCAGAAAGTGGGCTTAGCTCAGGGGCCTGGTGCAGGAGATGACCGGAAATCAGCCCGGGCTCGCAAAGTGCCCAGGGGCTTTGATGTGCCCAGCATCTTTCCTTCCTCCCCCTCTCTCCCTCATTAATCCCATGTGCTTCGACACCTCCCAATGACTCCTCAGTCACTGGTTCTATAATTCTCTCCCTCCTCTGCTCCCAAACCTCCAATGGCTCACTGCTGCCTTTTATTAAAGTCTTTCTTAGTCTTATATTGAGGGCCCATTTGCTCTTGTATAGAAATCATCTCTTTCCCTCCTAAGTGTAGAAACCAGTTTTGCACATATGAGTGCCTTACTGTTACTGTGGTTTGCAGAATTATTCAGTTGGGGTTTGGCGTTGACAGTGATTGAGGCTTTGCTCAAAGCTCTTTGATGTTTAATAGCTTGCTCAGGAAGAAGTTTTGTTTCTGGTGAGACTTTGTTGAGTCGGTAGCCTGGACAACTACTTAAAATCAGTATCCAGCTGAAAATTCAGGGCCTAGTAAACAAACCAGAAAGAAGGCAATAAAAGCTGATGAAAAATCGTGTGTCTGTAAACCTCGGGTAACCTTGAGCTGCTGGTTTCGTTCTGTAACACGGTGAACAGAGTGAGCTGTGGATGAGGTCAAAGGCCAATGTGCTGAGGAGCAGCTGTCTAGTTCAGCTAGAAATTAGCTAATGTGTAAACCGGCCTTGAGGTCTTTTTAAGTTGCTTCATATTCCTAGTGTTCGTTAAAAGAAGTAACTTTTATCTCAGACTTTGGTGACTAGCCGTGATTTCATTGCACTATTTATGTTTTCTTTTGGGAAAGCGGCCTTCTTGGGTGTCTCCATGGTGAAGGGGAAGGTATTTTAAAACATGCTCCTTTGGGAGCAGGTTTTGATTTGAGTGATGGGAGGGTGGGGGCTGCGAGGACCGCAGCCCTGCTGGTCAGCGCAGCTGTGGTCAATGTTGTTCACAACCTCTGTTTCTTCTCTTTCTCTATAGACCAATGAGTGGAACAAGAATGATGACAGGCTGCTGCAGGCCGTGGAGAATGGAGATGCGGAGAAGGTGGCCTCATTGCTCGGCAAGAAGGGGGCCAGTGCCACCAAACACGACAGCGAGGGCAAGACCGCGTAAGCTGAAACACTGGTTTGCAGATATGCCGGTTATGGGTTTTCGGGGATGTTCTCTGGAATCCTTAGTATCCGCAGGGGAATTTCACATGTGCTCCCGCTCCACTCCCGTATTGAAATATGTGAGAAGATATTTTAATCTAGTTCCTTTCTCTCCAAATTCCAAGTCACACATGGAGCTTTACCTCGAATGGGTATACATGTTCCCAGGTATCAGCAAAGGTTTTACCTCCCAAGATTGCAACCAATTGTAGGTGAGACATGAATTCTGTCTTCGATAAGAAATAGCATAAAAGAGAAAAAAGTATTTTCCTATAACCCTCAAACCTTACTGTTTATTTATCTTAAACTACTTGTTTATTTATTTGATCTTCCTTAGCATAGATCAGTAAGTACGTGAGTAGTATGATTTTGCTTTGTGGTTTGCTGTGTATAGTACTCTTGCTTGCCGTAATTAAAGCTACACACTTGATTAAGTATTTGTGTGTGTTTGTGCATGTGCATGTATTTGTTTATATCCACTCTGACGTTGGCAGTGTTGTGGAGAGAGCACTGACTGTGGAGCCAGATAGACGTCTCACAAGAACTCTATCACTTATGACTTGTGTAATCCTTGAACCTCAGTTTCCTTACTCTAAAATGGAGACGGTATTAGTTAACTGTTAGAGTAGTTATGAGTATAAAATGAAATAATAATGTAGGTTGGATGCCCTCAGAAGCAGGCTCTGAGACAAGGATTTAAGTGCAAGTAGTTTTATATCTTTTTTTTAACATGTCAAATGACGGTTATTGTGTAATTACTGTGAAACACACAAAGCAGTAGTATATATTATTTAGGGATGTATACATACATACAATGCAAGTAATTTCTGTAGCCATTGATCCCAGGAAGCATGAGAAAGGAAGAAACCTGTATTTTTAAGGTGTGTTATTGACAGGTTCCAACTTTGTCACTCTTTCTTGAAGAGGATTCTGGGAATCTGTTTAGACCTAGAGCAGGGTTTGGCTATGTTGCCCAAGCTAGACTTGAACTCCTGGGCCCAAGCAATCCTCCTGTCGCAGTCTCCCAAGTAACTGGGACTACAGGCACGTGCCACCATGCCTGGCTACTGTCTGATTTTATAAATAAAGTTTTACTGGAACACAGCCACACGCATTCATTTAGGCATTGTCCATGACTGCTCCCATACTACAAAGGCAGAGTTGAGTAGTTATAGCAGAGACTACATGGCTCACAAAGCCCAGAGTATTTTTCTAGCCTTTTACAAAAAGGGTTTCCTTATCCCAGGTTTATAGTATGCCTCAGAGTTTTTCCACCCAAGGTGTGAGGAACCTAGGGTACCTATCCCTTATCTCCTCTCCCTCAAAGGTTGAGCGCTGACCGGGTACAGTGGCTCCCGCCTGTAATCCCAGCACTTTGGGAGGCTGAGGCGGGTGGAATCACTTGAGGTCAGGAGTTTGAGACCAGCCTAGCCAAAATAGTGAAGCCCTGTCTCTACTAAAAATAGAAAAATTAGCCAGGTGTGGTGCAGGCATCTATAATCCCAGCTACTTGGGAGGCTGAGGCAGGATAATAACTTGAACCTAGGAGGCGTAGGTTGCAGTGAGCTGAGATTGCGCTACTGCACTCCAGCCTGGGCAACAGAGCAAGATTCTGTATCAAAAGGAAAAAAAAAAAAAGAAAAAATTGAGTGCTACTCTAAGGGACACCATGGTCATGGCCAGAAAAAGTCTAAGGGGTCCCCAACCCCCAGGCCACAGATGGGACCAGTACTGCTCACAGCAGGAGATGAGCAGTGGTTGTGCAAGCATAACCTTCCTCTGTGTTTACAGCCACTCCCCACTGCTCGCATCACTATCTGAGCTCCGCCTCCTGTCAGATCAGCGGCAGCATTAGATTCTCACAGGAGCACAAACCCTGTTGTGAACTGCGCATGCCAGGGATCTAGCTTGCGAGCTCCGTATGAGAATCTAATGTTTGATGATCTGTCAGTGTCTCCTATTACCCCCAGATGGAACCGTCTAGTTCCAGAAAAAAAAGCTCAGGGCTCCCACAGATTCTACATTACAGCAAGTTGTATAATTATTTCATTATATATTACAATGTAATGATAATAGAAATAAAATACACAATAAATGTAATGCACTTGAATCATCCCAAAACCATGCCCCGTACTTGGTCTGTGGAAAAACTGTCTTTCACAAAACTGGTCCCTGGTGCCGAAAAGATTGGGGACCGGTGGTCTAAGGGGATTTGGGAAGGGCACCTTCAGCTGTAGGTGCTCTGTATAAAGAGTGGCACAGCACCCAGCCCACAGTGGGCCCTTGATAAAGCTAGTCACCTACCCTGCTCATCCTAGATTAGTGGTTCACAATCTTGGCCGCTTCTGCATTTCTGCATTTGAATCACCTGGAGTGCTTTTTTTTTTGGAGATGGAGTCTGTCGCCAGGCTGGAGTGCAGTGGCGTGATCTCGGCTCACTACAACCTCTGCCAGGCTAGAGTACAGTGGTGCGATCTTGGCTCACTGCAACCTCCGCCTCCTGGGTTCAGGCGATTCTCATGCCTCTGCCTCCTGAGTAGCTGGGACTACAGGCACGTACCACCACACCAGGCTAATTTTTGTATTTTTAGTACAGACGGCATTTCACCATGTTGGCCAGGATGGTCTCAATCTCCTAACCTCGTGATCTGCCTGCCTAGGCCTCCCAAAGTGCTGGGATTATATACAGGCATGGAGTGCTTTTTAAAAATATTGATGACATATTGATCAGAATCACCCCAGATGCTCTGAATCACTTGGTCTGGGGAGAGGCCCAGGAATCTTTATTTTTTGTTCTGAGGTGTTTGGTGGTAAATGTTGGGGCTTTTGGTCTCCATTTTGAATCACTACTTACCCTTCTTTGTCCCTGCTCTCCCTAGTCCAGGTTTGCACATATTTGTGCAAGACAACCTTTTCAAGTCATCCCAGAGAAAGGGGAGAGAAATGTTTATGATAATTTTGTCCAAGATAGTACTTACTAAAGAGAAGACAGAAAATTTAGATGAGCAGCTTAGCTACAATTGTGATAACCTTAACAAATTTGAAGCTTTTGATCATAAGATATTTATTACATGTAGAATAGATGGTCAGGCTTATTTTATGTTCTGTCTCTCTTTTTATTGTGGTAAAATGCATATAATGTAAAATTTACCATTTTAACCATTTTAAAGCATACAATGTAGTGGCATTAAGTATATTCACAATGTTGCACAACCATTGTCATTTTCTAAGTTCTAGAACTTTCTAATCAACCCAAAGAAAACCCCATACCCATTAAGAAGGAACTCCCCAACCTCCCCTCCCCTTCTTCTGGCAACCACAAATCTGGATTCTGTCTCTGGATTTGCCCGCTCTGGATATTTTTTATAAATGTAATCATATAATATGTGGCCTCTTGTCTCAGTTCCTTTCATTTAGCATAATGTTTTCAAGGCTCACTCGAGTTGTAGCTTCTGTCAGTACTTCATTCTATTCTCTCTTCATGGTAGACATATACATAGCAGTTAGATAAGAGTCACCACCTCCATTTTGCAGATAATAAAACTAAGGCCCACATAACACAGCTCTTCCTGAATTTACCTTTTTGTATGCATGTGTGTGAGATAGAGTCTCACTCTGTCACCCAGGCTGGAGTGCAGTGGTGCAGTCACAGCTCACTGCAGCCTCAACCTCACAGGGTCAAGCGATCCTCCTGCCTCAGCCTCTCAATTAGCTAAGACTACATGCATGCACCACTGCACCCAGTTAATTTTGGTTTTGTTTTGTTTTGTTTTTGTAATGATGGGATCTTGCTGTCTTGTCCTAGTGATCCTCCCATGTCAGCTTCCCAAAGTGTTGGGATTACAGGCATGAGCCACCATTCCTAGCCTTCTATTTTCTAGAGGGCTTTTGTGGTAATTTTGCCCTGGAATCTACAGTTGCCTGTCTGTCTAGAGGCTTGATTTTGGCCCTCAAGGGCTTTCCTCTGGCTCTGTCCCACTTACCTACATCCTCTCTCCCTGCTGTTTCTTCTGGAGGTGGAGCTGTCTGCTCCCACCCTCCCCGTAGGTCAGAACGTCCACCTGTGCACCCAGGTTCGATATCCAGTTCAAAATGCCATTCTCCCTGGTTCTCTTCATTCTTTTTGACTTTTCTTCTCTTTGAAATACTAGAAATCTTGATTTAGAACCTGGTATATTCGATTATTTTATTCCATTTATTTACAGATGGGGTCTTGCCATATTGCCCAGGCTTGATTTGAATGCTTGGCCTCAAGTGATCCTCCTGCCCCAGCCTTCTGAGTAGCTGGGACTATAAGGCATGCACTACCACACCTGCCTTTATTCTATTATATCGATGAACAGGAACAACAACAGAAATGTCTCCATTCTAATAAAACCTTTGTTTTCTGAAAGACTTGATTCCCATACAGTACAGTAAAGCTCTCTAAGGACAGGGATGGTATAATCTTGTTGTATTGGTCTTTCCCATTGTTCTAGGCCCAAAGGAGGCCTTCAGTTGGGATTTGTGTAAGTAATGTTTCAGTGTGATTCTTGTGGAGAAAACATTCTTTTTTTGCTGATAATATCTTATGGGTAAATTGCTTAGGGGTGAATTAACTTGGATTCAGAGGGGAAAGAATTCTTCTGGTGAACATCACAACCTGACTTGGCTCTTCAGCTTCCATGGCAATTTAAATAGAGAAGTACTCAACCTTTACCACCTAGAGAGCCAGGCAGTCTAGAAAGTCCCAATAATGTGGCAACAAAGGCAGCCATCTCCACAGACGTTCTCCAGAAGCCTCCATAACCCAAGGTCAATAACCAGATGGGTGGTTGGGTAATGCCTTAGACTTTTGAGTTTCTTTCTGGAGTATTTCCTTTCAGGGAAAGATGAGAATGCATGCCAGGAAATTTTCTTCCTCTAAGACTGATCAAAGAGGGGTTAAAAAAAAAAAAAAAAGTAAAAGCAATTGAATG